AATGGATATATTTGACTGATCTAGAATGTGATCAATTTTGTTTCACATTGAATGTCTAAAAGGTCATTTACTATAAATAGGTAATTCTAAATGCCGTTCTTTGTCATCTGTAAAAATACACTAACAATATAAGCACTTGTCCTTTAAGCCACTCAAGTCATGAATGTGTCTTTTAATGCATAGTTATGGATAAGACAGCCAGATATACAGATATGCTTATATACACCCCTCTTTTTACACCCACACACAGTAAAACATACTTATGACAGGGGCTTCAATTGCATAATTTTAAGTACCTTTTGAAATTACATAAATTCTGATTTATTTGTGAAATAAATGAATGAAATTATATAAAAGGATTATATATTATATAATTATATAAAATAGATTTCCATGAAAGTTACAAAGGAATAGATATTTTATGTTTAAAAGCCTTTCTAACAGAGTCTCTCAATAAAGTTTTTTTATAAAAGTATCTTTGAATTTGAAATTAAATTTAGCTACCTCATATTTCATCCCTACTTTAGATTTACCTGCTTTGCTAACAGGTTGATACCAGGCTGATGGAAACAAGCAAACCTTAGGAGATCGATTAGCTATTTCACAAAGACAGACTTGCAGAATTCATTTCATAACTACACAGTTGTTTTATGATGGACAACCTCTGTGTTTGCTAAGATTTACTCTTAGGAAAATGCATAGAAATATAGCTTGAGAGAAATAATTCTAGCTAGAATTAAACTATACAATAATGCACAGTTCACCTTAGACATCTCAGTACATGCACATTTTGAATTTTGTAAGATTAAGTATACTTTTTTAAAAAAAAAATACTAAGATGCAATTTTTGTTAAAAATGCAACTGTGAATAAACATATCTTGTGGAACATTTGAAGCTGATGCAATTGCTTTTCAGGCCAAATTCAGCATATAAGCTGACAGTTGTCTCTAAAGAAGTGAAAGAAGGACCTGGGTGGGACATGAGTAGAAGGCCTGACTGAGGTGCGAAGGGAGGCCCTGGGCAGGGCATGAGACAAACTCCCACTGCACCAGCATGAAAGAAAGCCCCAGTTGGTACATTGATGGCATGCAGTGTGATAGGCATAGTGGCATGGGTAGGAGGTAGGTGGGAGGTAAAAGTGCCAAGATAGGGAGAAATAGACAAGTGGGGAAGTTCAAGAAGAGGCAATTCCTTACCTTATCAAGTCTTGAGGCTGCAAAGGTCTAAGTGGAAATGGCTTGGCTTGGCTTGTGTCCTCACCTAAAAACCAGTGAGGTTTGGTTAATGACAATGAGGACTACCAGGATTTCTGTCACTGAGTGATGTGGTTATGTGACATTGCACTTCTGACCGCATTGCTTAGCAACAGAAATTCCACTCCCAATTACTCCTGTTAACCAAAGACTGTATGTACCTTTTAAGCAAGGAGCAGTATCTGACTCAACCAAAGATTTTCAGTAAGACATAATGCTAATTCCAATTCTTTCCCTCTTTTATGGAGTTGCATTTTTATTGCCAGATGCAACAACTTAAAAGCAATTGTATTAAACAATTATGTGTGCTACAAAGCAATATATTACAGTTATGAATCAATTATTTTCTAATTAGGCTTTCCATTATTATATTGATGTGTTTGGTTTCCTACAGGTCTCAGGTTAATCCTGAAACAAATTCTTTGTGAATAAATATTATTCATAATTAAAGAGTGTTTATTGAAGCTGAGACTTTTCATTAAATTCTTTTCAGATTAAGGAGGCTCCCAGAGTACTGGGTTAATTGAACTTAATAAGATTTGTCCACTTGTGCATTTGGTATGGCAGAAACTGTTTTAGTGCCAGCCACAGTTAGCAGCGATAAGTTCTCTTCTTCTTCCCCATCACCTCATGAATTTAAAAACCTATCACTTTTAGAGAATATAGAGAGTGCATTCTGATCAGCCATATCATAAAGGCTATCATGCCTTATACCCTATGCCTGAATCAAGGGATTCATGAAGTAACAATAATGACTGCGTGATAGAGCTAATGTTATGTTATGTCATATGCTCACCAACTTCTTGCTCCCACTGCTGAGTAGGCAGCCTGGCTGGATTTTGTGGTGCAAAACTGAAAGCAACCTCAGAGCCTCAGTGTGTCCCAAAAAAAAAAAAAAAAAATCCGCTTGTGGATTGGGCTGGGCTGGACCTAAGCTTCACACTGTAAGAGGAAAAAATGCAGCCCCAGACCACAATGCTCTTGAAAAGTTCCAAATACCAACAAGGAGAGGATCAACAGGAAATGCCTTTTCTATGGCAGTCTCTGCCCTATGGAACAATCTTCCCCCTGAAGTTCAGTAGACTTTTAGCCTCCTACCTTTCCACAAAGCACTGAAGAGCTGGAATAAGACGAGATGATTTCATATAGGAAGCTTAACTTGGAACAGGTTTTTGTTTTTAATGTGTTTGATTTGTATAGCTTTATTGTAGTTTTTAATGTTTTAATTTTTGATTGGGAGCTGCCCAGAGTTTGTTGTAAAATGCGCAACTATATAAATGTTTGTAATAAAATAAAGTTGTTCTGCAGGGTCATCACTGCCATTGAGAGGAGCACCTTCTTCCTTCAAGCTCCTAAAAATGGGGAATCACTAAAAATTTCTCCCTGTTGGATCTGATCAGTCCGATTACTACATATAAAGTTTCTTCTGTACACTTTTTAACAAGTGCTCTCCATGTTTGTAAAGACAGCCCAAGATAGGATTTTGAAAAGCTGCCTCTAAAATAGTTAATATCTTTTACATATGTGATTCTTTCAACCCCAGCTGTTGTAGCATGTGTTGGGAAAAAAGTTCAATCTGTGAATTTCACTTCAAAAGAGTTTATTTATATGGTATACTTAATTTAGTGCAGCTTTTTTACCTAGAAACATTTTCAGAACAACTCAGTAAATAGCAACCTTTTTTAAAAAAGAATAAGATACAGTCAGTATAGCTTTAAATTATTTCATTTGTTAGTTGACGGTTTAATTTACAAGATTATGCTCAAACCAATACTTTTTAAAAAATTTAGCAAACAAAAACATAATTCTCAGACATAAAAGACTCTTATATCTAGATCTGCAACTTGTATGGCATGCATTTCTATGGTATGAGAAGAATAAAACTCATAGATACTTTTTTCACTATGTAAGAAATATACTAGTTTTCATGTGGGAAAAGATAAAAGCTAAAATCTACTTGAAAATCCCAGGATGATCTTTAAAAAACTATTGTAATAGTATTTAACATTCAATTATGTTAGTTAAATCAATCAACTTTATTAATAATTTATTCTAAGTTATTATTTATAAATCCAGAAGAAAATAGACAAAAACAAAAATAAAATTGATAAATTAAGTATATGTAGGATGAAAAACCACAGTTCTTAAACAGCAAATTAAACCTTTACCACACAGAATAATACTGATTGAACCTTCCATACAACCAATCCATATGTAGAGAGTGAACACATGCTCTGAAACAGAATTCGGTCCAGGCTCTTAAGTATAGCAGAGTCTTTTCTTCAAAATACAATGATCTTTTTGGCAATAAACCACACAGTAATAAATCCCAAATTTTTCAGTATGTAATGCAATAATGCATCACAGCTTTAAACCACATTTCTTTTTGTGGCATTGTATTAACAACCTGATGATTATTCAACCAAAATGGTACAACTATTGGACAAGCTCTAAATATACAGTATATGTCATTATAAGACAAAATATTAGAATCACAATATGCCAAGCTGGAGATCCAAGGATATTTGTTAAACATCCTCTTGAGTATCACGAAACAGAAAAAAAAAATACTTTGTTGAATTAATGCCTATTAAGACCAGACAGCACACATTTAACTTTCTTCAAATAGTAACCAATTAATTCCAGCTCTTACAAGTATCCCATATCTGTCCTAGCACAAACCAGAAACTATGGCACAATTAAGCAAAGGCTACATATGGGCTGGGAGTGGAGAGAGAAAAGGTAAATCTAAATGTGTGGTTCTCAATAAAAGTTACGTCTTTTACAAACATGTTTTTGCTTTTGAATTAAAAAGTTCCCTTGAACCCAGTATTTGGCAACTTTAAAATATGTGGACTTCAACTTCCAGAATTCCATTGAAATCTACAAAACACAACTTAACAACTCTGTATGGGAGGTAGCTGTATATGTTTAGGGTTAAATGGTATGTGAGAACTGTAGATCTGTATATATAGCCCAACCCCAATAGTTCTAGTGCAAGGTATTCCCCCACCCTCAGAAATACATTAAAGGTTGGAGGTGGAATGGGCCAACTTGCTGGGGCCATCTCACCACAGGCAACACATTGCAGGACAACTTACTGCAACCAACTTGCCACAGGACAATCCATGTGGGGCAACTCAATGCAATAAAAGTTATCCACCATTGTTTCTTCTACATTATTTCCATTCACAAAATGGAATTAATGTAGAAGAAACAGAGGCAGATAACATTTATTGTGTTGAGTTATTGTGTATGAATTGTCCTGCAGTAAGTTGTCCTGTAGTGAGTTCACTGCAGTGAGTAGTTCCGCAGCAAGTTGGCTGGGGCGAGTTGTCCTAGACCTGCTAGGGGAATGAAGTTGTGCAGCTTAGGTTATTGTGCTCCTAGCATTGTCTGTCATGCCTTACTTGGGAGTTTTCTGGAAATATTTGAATCCACCAGTCCAACATTGAAGACAGTAATTAACCTTTCTGATTTAGCATATCTATAAACCATTAGATCAGATTTCTGCTACAAACTAGGCAACCTTCAGCATCATTTTTCTGTCCATCTGGGTTGACTTTGCAGATAAATGAAAGCTGGCTGGGTGACTTCAGGCTCGTCACTCTCTTTCAGCCCAGTCCATCTCATAGAATGATGGCTGTGGAGAAAATAGGAATATTAGGTATGTTTGCCAGAGAGAGAGAAAGCAGGTGAGAGGATGGGTTCATAATTACAATCATTATAATTATATTTCTTTCTAGGTAATAACCTTGATGCTGTTCATGACATAACAGTGGCATATCCTCAAAACATTCCACAAACTGAGAAACATCTTCTGTGTGGAAATTTTCCCAAGGAAATTCATTTTCACGTCTGTAGACATCCTGTAGAATCCCTGCCGACCTCTGTGGAAGACTTGCAACTCTGGTGTCAAAAGCGCTGGGAAGAAAAAGAAGAACGGCTGCGCCATTTCTACGAAGGCAAAAAATACTTCGATGTGTCAGGGAGAAGCAAAATCCCACCCTGTAAATCTGAGCTCAGGGTTATGGTTGTTAAGTGCATTTCCCTCTTGTACTGGACATTTTTCACACTCTCTGCAATTGCACTATTATACATGTACAACTTTGTACGATGGTATCTTGTGATTGTAGTTGTCATTTTCATTGTGCAAGAAAAGCTGTTTGGTGGACTTGAATTGATAGAACTTGCATGTCATCAATTTTTTAATAGACGCAGGTTATACAACGTAAATAGATGTTAAATTTATCTGGCGTATGTACTGATTGGATAGGTGATGTTTGTGAGCACTTTTCAGGTGTGCCATAAACTTTTCATAGTGGAAGGAGATTTTGCATGAGAATTAATATTTCTTAATGCTGTTTTGGTTAATGCACTGTACTCATTGTAAAGGACAAAAGTTCATATTGAATTTTTAGTTTTTGAATGTATCAGTGTTTCTCTTGCAGCTAGCCTCTGCAGCATCGCTGGAAAAGCATTTGCTGACCAATCAAAGTTTCTATCCATTGAATTGTTTAAATATATATACTGTAGCTCTAAATTGCTGGGCAAATTAGGGAGCTAAAAGTCATGGACTGTGATTCTTACAGTGCCTTGCTATAAATAATGTGTGAGATTTGAAAGTCCCAGTTTATTACACAATGAATAGCTGACTATCTTCATTTCTCTACCTTTATACCTTACACAGAGTTAAATGGCTGATGGAATTATTGTCATCAAAATCAACAAATGAAAGAGAAAACAAAACCCAGGACCTAAAGTCGGATGAATGAAGATAGTCTGTTTTGAACTATTATAACTTATTCTATTTTGAGAAAAAAAATCCAAAGGTCAATAAGGCTTTGGTAAAGGTGCTGGTAAAGGTAACTGAGCTGGACCCCACTGTCCTTTTGAAAGTCCTAAATCACCTTCACGATTCCATTCCTGTGAATTATTTGTCATATGGTGAAGTCACAGTCCATCTCCACTTCAGGTTTAAGCTGCCCTGCAAACCTAACTACTAAATGCTCAGGCAAAACAGCATAAAACTGCAAGAAGCACTGAAATTAATTTTCCCATGATATGAAAATAGGAATAATGTTAAAATTGCCTCATTGGATTATTAATATAAGAAACATTAAGATTTTTCTATTAACGTTTGTCTCTTTTTCCAAAATCTGAATTAGGAGAATACTTTTAGCATGGAAACTGAAGGACATTTCAGTCCATGCTTGACCATAAGCAGCCCCCTCCCCCCCCAAGGCTTCTGCTCCATGTAATGAACTATATATATATATTTTTCCTAATTGAACCCTTCTTTCTTTCTGTGGCTGAACATCTTCCCTCCTGCTATTTTTAATGGAATTAGGGTAAATTCTGGAACTGGCTGCAGTTTTTTACACTGCATCTTTTACACTTAACACAACAAGTCAAGACATTTCTCTTCCATGCACTGAATATTAAAAACACCAGAGCTGTAAACTATAAGTTCAACATGTTAAGTGTCATGGCTACTTCCACATCTTTTTCAACCGCTGTCACTCCTACAGTAAGTTTTCATAGAACCATTTTATAAATAAACTGTATAAAGAGCTACTGGCATATGAAAGGTCTGTAAACTGGTCTTAGATTACCACTGTTATCGAAATGTCAATGTTTTAGCCATAAAAAATATTTACTCTAGAGCAACAATAAAGAATTTAAAATGCAAATTGGTATAATTTTATTGAATTCTTTGACTAATTTATATGACCATACACCTTAACCTGGGCAGCTAGCAAAACACATGAATAACATAACACAATATAAAATCTATAAGGCAATACAGTCTTTAAAACTGAACTCCCACCAAGATTCCTTACAAAACTCTGTCATGATTCAGAATAGGACACACATACTGGGCTCCGCTAACATCCTGACTCCTATGTTTGAAAAGGAAATGTAGTCTTCAAAGCTTTCCAGAAGACTAACAGGGCTGTCCAAATTTCCTGGAAGAGGCTGAGACAGAATGCATACTTGTAGTTCTGAAGTATCCTGGCCCTGTGCCATGCAGGGCCTTAGATGACAACCAGCATTTTTAATTGCATCCAGCGCTTCAGTGTTACATGAATATACCATGGTGAACTATGTGCTGTTACATTCTGAATTGGTTGTAACTTCAAAATGCTTTTCAAAGATGGACCTGTGTGGTCTGTAGTCTAAGCAAAAAATGTTTAGGTCTTCAAACTTGGCCCTTTTATGACTTGTGGATTTCAACTCCCAGAATTCCTCAGCCAGGCATGCTGGCTGAGGAATTCTGTGAGTTGAAATCCACAAGTCATAAAAGGGCCAAGTTTGAAGACCCTGGACTAAAGCATATGTCTTCAGGAATAGGAGCAACTGGTGCACAAGATGGATTTGTGCAAATCCTGGACATGATTGCCACCTGATCTCGATCAGTAGCTATAAGTTCAGATGGACTGCCAACTTGTACATCAACTCTGAGGGAGTGCTGCCCATCCAGAGTTAATCATGTTAAACCTCCAAACCTAAAACCTCCAGCCACAGGGTCTAGCTAGGGTTGCATCAAAAGCCTGTGCTTCCTCACCCAGATCCTCACAGTCTCCAGGCACTGGGAAGAATCTTGATGGCATGTGGGGCAGGGATATATAAATATCAGGGAAGACATGGATCTAAAACACAGGTGACAGGATTCAAAACCCTAAGATCCTGTCCTATTCCTCAGGACTAACATGTTCTAGCTCTCTCAGGATAACTAAGCAAGATGTGCTTCTGTCAATTCGTAAGACCTGCATAGCCAGAATCTGAACAGATTCAACCGGCTTTATCTGACAGATGCCTAAAATAGTCCTCAGCAGGACCTGGAATGCAGCACTGATACCAAGTACCAAGGCTACCTTCCCTTCCCTGAGAACAGTCCACACCTGGTCTTCTACCACCTCACTCTATGCCCTCCATCACCATTGCTTACTCTCTCACCTCTTCATAACATCCATCACCCAATGATGCTTGTCCTCCTTTCTCCCCATCAAAGGAACCCATCATACACTAGATGGCACAGTAAGGTTGGCATAAGATTAAAAGTAATCAGTGCTCATAAAATAAAGCATACTACTTCTATCCTACAATCTAGCTAACAGTTGGGCTTGCTCTTAAGATTCCCAGCCTCAAAGGAGTAAGTATATTGTGATGTTATATGACTTCAAGATATACATCTAGAGAGATTATCTCACTGAAACTTATTTAAATAAGTTATTATTAAATCATTTAAAATGTAACTGACTTCAGACATCCATGTCAACAAATTTTAATCGAAACCCAGTAGGTGTAAACTTCAATTTCCTGGAATTTCCTGTTACTGAATCTAAGAGGCTATCCTCAAAATAGAAAAATCACTTCCATCAAGAACAGATGGGCTGGATTTTATTAGAAAGTTCAACACTTTCTCAGTTTCTTATTGCCCTCCAGGCAATAATTAACTCACAAAATAGTTGTCATACTTGACACCTATATATCTGCACATAATAAGATGAAAGTTTGGAAATGCTGAGGGAATGAATGCTTAGGAGTGCCCATTTAAATGCAGAGGTTTTGGGAAGAATCAAAGCAAAATGGCATGAACTGGAACTGTTCTAATTAGCAAATAGACTTTTTATTGATCACATAGTTCCATTTATTTCAGTGTTTCCTCTTTGTTTCATCAATTTTCACTTGTGTGGAATTGATCCTGGCCTTTTAAAGTACTTTTTTTTAAAAAAGTATTATGAAGCTACACAACCTCAGTAGTCAAACACTGGTAATAAATACAATTCCATATATATATATATTTAAGAATATTAAAAACAAAATGGTAATTCCTGGGTAGAGTGATGTTAAACAATAAAATATACGAACACCAGGAAGTTACAAAACTATAAAAAGTTTTAATAGAATAAAACCAAAATAAAACCAAGCTTTCGCTGGCTTTTGCCAGCATCATCAGGGTAGCGTCCAGTCGATGGGAGAAGCTATTTATAAATGTGGCGCTCAAAGTGATATGAAGGATCGGGAAACAGGATGATACAAACACAATGGAATCCTGGGCTACGGAGACAAACAATGAGGATATAGTTGTGAAGGAGGATCGTAAACAGAGAAACGGGGAGGAGAATGGAAATAGGGAGTACTAAGAGGGAGGATGAGGAGAATAAACAACATAAACACAGACAGTGCACATTTAACTACGTAAAATTAAAGAGTCCCCCCAACTTACAGTCATACAAAGAAGGGAGGAAGAGCTGTGGTATCGGTACAAGTAAGGAAAGTGAGGAAATTACAGCTTGCTATACAGAAACTACGATCAAAATACATACTTCTGACTTCGTCAGGGTTAATGCTGGTCTGTGGGAGAGACCAAAAAAGGGGAGGAAAGAACCTCCCTAATTCAAGACAGTGGGAGGTAGAGGGGAATAATGACACACCCACAAGCAGTAAAAGCAAGAAAAGAGAAGTCATCAGTATGGAAGCCATAATTAAAAAGCAGTTAAATCAATTAGGACCTATGACAAGATCTAAGAGCCGTGTGCAAATGACGGCTCACCTATAAAGGCACTCTCCCACAGACCAGCATTAACCCTGACGATGTCAGAAGTATCTGACGAAAGCTTGGTGATCGATGATGGTATTAAACTTTTATAGTTTATTATATTCCTGGTGTTCACGTTTTATTGGTAATTGACTATGGATTCACCCAGGAATCACATTTTTATTTTCACTATTCTTATTAATATATATATCTGAATATAGAGACTGATTGGGAGTGTACTGGGTACAAATTAAACTGGAAATTGCCACATTAATGTCCCAAAATTTCCAAGATTTGGGGGCACTAGTGACATGTAGAAGCCCCAGCAGCAGCTTTAAGTTCTCTCTGTAACTGACAAACAAGAGTGGTTCTGTTGCATAATTTTTCACTCAACCTAAACCATCAGAATGAAAAATGGGAGGGGAAAAACAGAGAAAACAAGAAAAATTGACCTGTGAAAAAGTTGGATAATTTAGCTCAGTTTTCAAATGGAAAACAAATTCTGAACACGGAGTTTGTCTAAAGCAGCGGTTCTCAACCTGTGGGCCGCGACCCCATTTGGGGTCGAACGACCATTTCACGGGGGTCGCCAAACAACGTGGTCCGCCATTATTTTCCCCTCTTTCCTTAGCTGTGCTACTCCCTTTTATTCTATTGGCTTTTGAAAGCCAATAGAATAGACTCTCTTGAATAGAGTCTAATTCTATTGGCTTTCAAAAGCCAATAGGAATTGTCCAGGCTGTCTCTGCCCTGCTGAGCCCACCAAAAGTCCCATTCTGCAAACGGTGCAGCAAGTTGTCTGCAGCAAAGGCGAGCTGTCTGGAAGTTTCCACCCCTCCCTGCTGAGCAACTACTAAAAATGTAAGTAAAAGAGGGCCAGGAGTGGGAGGTGGGAGGCCGGCGGGCGCAGGGAGGGTTGCTGGTGCACGTGGGGCCTGGTGGGTGCCTTACCTCCCTTGGGCTGGGCCAGTGGTGGCCCAGCCAGTGGTCACCCTGCACCATCGCTGCCCCTTGCCAGCTATGCCTCGGCCGACGCAGGGGACAGCACCACGCATGCGCGGCGCTCCCAGGCAGGGAAAGTCCTCGACTTATGACCGGTTGGGGGTCGTGGCATTAAAAAGGTTGAGAACCACTGGTCTAAAGGAACTTTTCTTTCATAGCAGATTTGGAGGGTTTTTTGGGTATGTTTTTGTGTGTGTATCTGTGTGTGGTATGTGTGTGAAATTCATGTCCTCACAATTTTAAAAGATACTTGCTTATCCAAAACTGCCACATTACAGTGCTGCTAATATTTTCATTTACTTCAGTTTTTTTAGAATACTCTACAACAGTATTTCTCAACCTTGGCAACTATAAAGTTTGGCTGGGGAATTCTGGGAGTCAAAGTCCACACATAGTTGCCAAGGTTGGGAAACACTGCTCTAGGGGTATCTTTGGGCTGTATAAATAGTTTGCCATTTCCTGAGGGCAAACAAGTTACTATATAAGAAAAACCGAGTCATCTGAGGCTTGTTTGGTTTTGATGACTGTCCAGTTGCTGCAAAAGTAAGTAGCTGTGACTTTTCTTCTTCTTTTTTAAATGTATTTTTTCAAAAATAAAAATAAATGTCATGGTACAATCAGGGCTGACATCATCAAAGAGAATGGGGAATGGTTTACTCACTCTTTCTTCCTGTGACTACAGTGCTGAAACGTAAAACGGAGAAAGGTTGAGTTCCTAGAGCAGCCTCATACTGAAGGCTTATCTGAAAACTGAATCTGCAGCAGGAAGAACAGATGATTTCTCCCTTCAGTATTCAAATCACACGGTTCACTTGAGGTGATTGTGAGATTGAGGCTAGAAGCCAGGCATCTTCACGTCAGAGATGAAATTGTGTAGATACAGAGCAATCACTTGGCTTTAAAACCATGTCAACAGTCAGCTATTTCATGGGAAGGGACAAAAATTTTTTAAAAAATAAGCTTAAATTCCCATGGGTTTGAATTATTTGCACCATCTCATTAATATGCCAATAAACTGTGCAAGGTGGTAAAGCATTATTCTTGCCTACTAGATTCTTTCCTAGCCAAGACATGATTTTGCTACGTGTTTTTTTCTACTGCTAACTGGTACCACTTGACAGAAGTTATTTTAGCTCAAAATGACTT